GGGGGGGTCTTTAATAAAACAAACAGTCTAGTACACTGCGACTCACGTGTTTGTTCACTACAATTTGTTTGATTTTTATTTGTTTTGGGGTTTTAAAATATTGTTTTGGGTGGCTATTATTTTAATGTTGACGTTTTTTATGCCCTCTCCCCCATCGACACAATTTAGATCATTTAGGAGGTGGGTAATAATCTGCTTCGATACGGATTATTAAGTGAGAACTACAAAAATAAAAACGAAAAAAAAAAAGATTCATTTGTGGTAACTCTGTTGTGAACTAAATATTGATGTGTGGCTACATTGGTATATTTCTTTTTTTCTTTTTAAAAACCCAAACTATTTCAAACACATATTGAGAGAACATCCAGTTCAGCCCTAATATTGAGAAATAGGCCTGCTGAGACAAATGTAAGTTTGATTGAAAATAAAATATGAATTGTTATGTGTTTTTAAAATTATATTTTTCTTGGATCTATTTTTTATCCAGATATATTTTAAACCGGTGAGTTGTTAATAGATTTCCGAATGTTTTGGAGAAAATAAGCTGTCAATGAGCAAGAACTAACTGCAATACTGAAGAGTCAACACTTCAAATTGAAAGTTAGATCTAACCAGAAGGAAATCCCATGATTTCTCCATGTTGGAGATGGTTAGAAAAAAAAAACAGGTTTGTGTTTTGTCGAAAAATACAAATAAACCTAAAATGTTTGACCTTTCAAGGCTGGAATTGAAATTATTAGAAAAGGTTTTGAAAAACAGAGAAGTAAAAACACCCTGTTCTTCATAGGATTAGATTCTTAAGCCTTACTCCTCTTGTATTAGTGATGTGACATCTTGTACAGATTGATATTATACACTTAATGCACCGCGTATTTATTTCTGGAATAATTTACACTCTAGTCCACAGCACAGCGAGGACATATATGTATGGACACTCGATATAATGGGGGGGGTTTCCACAAAGAACACTTGGAATAGTTTTAGATATCATTGAATAAATCTTCAACTGAGATCCTAGGTGATGCTGTTTATGTTTTATAAAAGATTAGGCTTCATGTTTTTAGTAGCTATATAGATGTAAAAATGTTAGTGTCATGAGAAGATACTGATTTTTTAAAGTCTAAATCTAACCACAACTCTTGCTTATGTTTTGCAAAATGAATTGCCTCGGGAAAGCTCTCTGACTAACCGAGAACTGTTTTTAGAGAAACCTCACGCAAATGAAAGACGAAGGTTTGTGCTTGCATTTCATGTTGAGAATATAACTTGACATTTCATGTCAGAGTGTTGCCATAATTCGAGACTGAGTAAGACTTCAAAACACACACACACACACACACACACACACACACACACACACACACACACACAGCGCAGCACAGAACGGGAATTTGATATCTGACACATGAATTACCTTTTGAGAAGAGTATTTCCCAGTATATGATTAGAATTCCGGGGATAGGAGCAGAACGCCACGAGAGCGAGAAAAAAAATTTCCTCCAGCTATCGGCTGACTTGTCCTAGTTTCGAGTTGTTTTGAACAGAAGTTTTCACAGAGATGCACACACTGTATTGATTCAGCCGCTCGTACGCTCGTCAGATCCGTGGACAAATCGTTTTCCCCTTACTTGTAGAAGGCGGTCGGGAAATCCAGTGAAAAGCCAGGGTAAGTAGCTGTACGTCTTTCCGGTCAGCACGAAAACTATAATCTTATTAGTGAGAATCATACAGGATCATTGACTTCCAGAAGTGCTGTTGCGGCTTTTTTGCTCAGGTGTGGCTCATGTCCGTACACAGGGGTTTAATCCGATACTTGATTTTATTGTAACTCTACTCGGCCTCCGGGCCAAGGAAGATCAACGATAAATATAATTCAAACCAAGGGTGGAAGAATCGCGCTAATGTAAGGTAAAATATGATCATTCGGCGATGTGTCCAAAAACTACGCCCTCTTGCCAAGCAGCGAAATTGTGCATAATAAAACGTATTTTTGTGCCTCAAATTTAACCCTCTATTTGAGAGCTGGCCTTCCGCATTAATCCTCGGCTCTTAATGTCTGCCTAGGTGCATTCTAGCATTCTGCCGGCTCATTGGTCCATCCAAGTGTTTTAGGCTGGGTGTGAAACACTATTTCTGCTGTGTGCTGCTCCACGCTTGGGCTTGTCGTCCAGCTAGGAGGGCCTGCCTTGGGCGGCCCCGTTTCCGTGTGGGTAATCGGCGCGTTCGGACACTGGTCCACCAGGCACGCACTGAGGCGGTGGGAGATAGAATTACTCGCTCTCAGATCCAGGACAGAGAAAAGGGCACGTTGTGAAGGCGCTGGGGCTCGAAACCTTGGCAGACCTGTCCCGTTCACCTTTGCTACTATAAAACAGATGCTTAATAAACCGCGACCCGCTGCCCGCTCGCAGTTTTTTTGCGATCTGTTCCAACCGAAGGCGTGGCCACCCCCACACGTACGCCAAACGGGTCGCTTCCTTCCTCTCCCTGTATGCGAAACTTGATTCGACAAGCCTAGCGATCTGTAGAGGGTGGGGAGAGAAAGGGGGAGAATGACGAAAAGTGGGTGGAACCGTCTGGAGGGTGGAAATCGAAGAGTTCTCAGGGAGAGCGGGGGAGACGGGGGCCGCTGAGCTCCGACACGCTGAGCACTAGATTGAGAGCGCGTTGCCGACAAGCAGGCAAACCGACAGGGCTATCGATAATCTGGTCGGGCGTTAGACCGCGCCCCCTTTTCTCCAGCCGTGGCGTCGATTCTGAAGCCACCCATTCACGAGGTGGGAAACAGTCAGAGATCTGGCGGCGGGCAGCCCCCCAAGGTGGACAAATTCCAATAAAAGGCGGGGCTACTGTCGTACCCATCTCTGCTTACGGATTGGGTCACAGGGAGAGTGAGTGAGTGAATGAGTGAGAGAGAGAGAGAAAGAGAGAGAGAGAGAGAGAGAGAGAGAGAGAGAGAGAGAGAGAGAGAGATGGAGGGGGTGGGGTGGGGTGGGGGGAATGATATGGTGAAAAGACAAATAAAGACACAGACAAAACGGCAGATAGGCAGGTAGTCAGGCAGACAGTCAGGCAGACAATCAGGATGACAGACAGATGGAAAGACATACAAACAGAGAAAGAGTTTAATGACGTGTTGGTTTCGTTATTAAGAAGCGTTTCTTCTTATCGCTGCGTACATAGACACCGGGCCCAAAACCAACATATTTGCAATTAACTGATTATGATTTAGCCATTATAATTATGCTCGGAGAAAGTATGACTAATTGGTATTAATAAGGGTTTGGATTCGCTCAGTATGCTTTCCATACCTTACCTGACCAACATACAGGCATACCTGCTCTAACAGCCCCCCTTTTAAGACAATCACTTGTACAAACGACACCCCCCTCCCTTCTTGGCCAATTAAAACAAAGATCTAAAACAACTACGACAGATGGTGTCTGTCTGGGACAATAATTTATTTCACCTGCCTTTTGTCTTCACTAGCTGGGCCCCCTTTCGATGAAAGGAATGATCGTCATTGGTCAACTATACTTACACTCTACTGAAATGGAGCAATACATCCTGAGTGAGAGATGCAAAAAAATAGCAGGTTTAGATATAGTAATGTATAGATTGATTCTCTATTCCGCTTTCGTGGTTGTACACTCCAGAATTTCAAAAGTGTGGAAACAGTGCGCACAGCTTGTGAAATGAAACCTCACTTGTTTACAATGGCATCTTAGAAAACGGACTTTCCCAAGATTAAATGTAAACTAAACTAATGAAAAACTGAAAATTAAACTACATTGACTTCAGGCTCCTCAATAAAACTGTGCACCATTTAAATGATTCTCAATCACCATTAATTTTTTTCAAATTCGAAAGTTAAGAGGTTCGGAAGTTTTAGGCGGCCAAAGTGACGAACTTTCACCAATATAATATGTATCGATAGATGAAGAAGGCGCATCCAAACGAGAAAGAAAGAGCAAAGACGCAGGAAAAGGCAAAACAATTCGAAAATAAGGCCATTGTGAAGTAAATGTCAGTTCCTTATTTCGTTGCACAAAATGTTCGTTGATTGTTGTTTGTGGTATTTCACCAACAGAGGGGTTTGCCTAATACAAATGATATACAGTGCAAGCTAGGTACACGTTCAACTAACGGACAGAAAAGAATCGGACGTCAAGTCATTGTGCGCACTGCTAGTGAACGGAAGCCTCAATTGTTTACAAGGCCGTCTTAGAAGACGGACTTTCCCAAGATTAGATCTAAACAAAACTAATGAAAAACTGAAAATTAAACTACAATGACTTCAGATTTCTTAATATAATTGTGCACCGTTTAAATGATTCTGAAAAACCACAATTGTTTTCAAATTCGAAAGTTAAGTGGTTCGGAAGTTTTAGGAGTCCAAAGTGACGTATTTTCACAAATATAATATAGATTTCTGTTTATCACTTCCATTCCCCACCTGGCCCATTTCCCAAACAAACCTGAGATTGCTCACTCCCCAATTTCCACTTACAAAAACACATATAAACACACACATGCATTTCGCCC